GCATGATCACCCAGCAGAGTCAGCTCCTTCGAGAGTTTGCTCGGATGCAGTTAGACATCGTCGAGTCACTTTTTACGATGCATGTCGTAGGAGGTGTTCGGTCGATGAGAGTGTGGCCCATGCTCCGAGATCGAGTTCGGAGAGATCAGTCCGTTGATGAGTTCGTCTGTTCCATGAGGGCGAAGGTTGTTGCCGAGGGCGTAGAGGGGTTTTACGAGGCGCGGATGGTGACTTGGAGTATAAGGGAAGGCTCGTTGTGCCGAATGTCGAGGCCCTGAGGAAGGAGATCTTGACCGAGGCTCACAGTGCACCCTATTTGGCGCACCCCGGCAGCACCAAGATGTACCACGACCTGAAAGGGTCGTTTTGGTGGAGGGGCATGAAGAGAGATGTTGCTGAGTTTGTGAAGAAGTGCTTGGTTTGCCAGCAGGTGAAAGCCGAGCACAAGTTTCCACCGGGTTTAGTGCAGCCCTTGGAGATCCCACTGTGGAAGTGGGAAGAGCTTACCATGGATTTTGTTACGGGACTACCCAAATCGAGGGAGCAACATGATGCGGTTTGGGTAGTTGTGGACCGACTGACGAAGATGGCTCGTTTCTTGCCCGTGCGGATGACGATGTCCATGGACCAGCTCGCGACGATCTATATCCGCGGGGTAGTGCGACTTCATGGAGTCGCCAAGGTCATCGTGTCAGATCGAGATCCCCGTTTTACCATTCAGTTCTGGAAGAGCCTCAGCGAGGCCGTGGGGACGCAGTTGAGGTTCAGTACCGCTTTCCACCCGCAGACCGACGGGCAGTCGGAGCGGACCATCCAGACACTCGAGGACATGCTTCGAGCATGTGTTCTGGACCGTGGTAGTTCATGGAAGGAGTTGTTGCCGTTGATTGAGTTCGCGTACAACAACAGTTATCAGGCATCGATCAGGATGGCACCGTACGAGGCGTTGTACGGTCGCAAGTGCCGATCACCCCTTTATTGGGATGTGGTCGGCGAACGGTAGGTTCTCGGTCCGAAGCTGATCGAGGACACGGTGGAGAAGGTTGCCTTGATCCGTGAGCGGATGAAGGTGGCACAGGATCGACAAAAGCGTTACGCTAACCAGCGTAGACGAGATATCCAGTTCGAGAAGGGAGATAAGGCATTCCTGAAGATCACGCCTTTGAGAGGCGTGGTTCGCTTCGGGAAGAGGGGGAAGCTGCAGCCTCGTTTCTTAGGCCCATTCGAGATCCTCGAGCGAGTGGGAGAGGCTGCATACCGGTTGGCGTTGCCACCCGAGCTTTCGGGTGTGCACAACGTCTTTCACGTTTCGATGCTGAAGGATTACGTGTATGACCCAGCACACGTGTTGAGTTACAGTGAGCTTGACGTCGGGCAGGACCTGACGTACGAGGTGCAGCCGATTGCTATTCTAGACCGAAAGGTTCAACAGCTGAGGAGCAGAGATGTAGCGCTCGTTCGAGTCCAGTGGACTCGCCACGGCGAGGCCGAGGCCACATGGGAGCGAGAGGAGGAGATTCGAGCTCGCTATCCAGATTTCCAGTTCTGATTAGTAGTATCGTATTATGTATTTTCAGTTTCTAGTTTTAGTCGAGTTAGCCTTATGTTTAGTTTTGTCATTTCCGGGGACGGAAATGTTTTAAGGAGGATAGATTGTAAGCCCCAGACCAAAATTATATTAGTAGCTCGACTTTATTTATCGAAATTAGTATTATTTTAATTATGTAGAGAATTATTAATATTAATTGCATAATTTATTTATTTTCAAGCCCAAGTAGTATTTTAAATAATCGAGCCTAGTAGCAATTATTTATCCCAGCCCAAGTCGTTAAAATCGAGCCCAATCTATTAGGCCCGATTTCTAAGCCCAATAAGAGCAAAACCCTAAACTACCCACCCTCCTATAAATAGAATGTCTCCATGTCTCCCAACACACCAACAAAAAACCCTAGCCCCCAAGTTACTATTCATCCATCTTCACCACCTTCATTTCAAGATCGAAACACCATCACCATCTCCAATTCTAAGATCTAGTCTAGAAATCCACACCATGTCTTAGCTTGTTCAAAGAGCTAGCTTTTAAAATCAAAGACCCACCTTCTCAAGCCAAGAACATAAGCTTTCCCATGGCTTGACCACCATTTCCGGCCGACCTCCGCCCGTTTTCCAGCGAGCAGCTCCACTCCACGCGAGCTCGCATCTCTGTCCAGCCTCAACCGAGTTGTGCGACCTCAGCGAGCCACCACGAGCCCACGGAAAGAACACAGCCCGCAGCCCTAGCTCAGCCCACTGCCGCCACGACGAAGCTCATCCCGTCACCACCATCTCCGGCGACAGCAAGCTCTCGACCAGATCCTCACCTCGGGCCTGCGACCCGCTCAGCCCGCAGCTCGAGCCAAACACAGCCGCAGCTCAAGACCCGACCAAACCCACAGCTCTTCAGCCCCGTTTTTCCGGCGAGTTCGCGACCTTCCCGGCGAGCTCGAGACCACGTCCAGGCAAGCCGTACACGTCGTCATCTTCCCCAGCTCGCGTCTTCACGGCGAGGCCCAGCTCCGGCGACCATTCCGCCTCCGTGCAGATCCACGACGAGTTCACCATCGGCCTTAGCTCGCACCAGCGCCCTCCTCAGCTCAGACCCGACGAGCCACCAGCATCCCAGCACCCTCCTTAGCTCAGACCCGAACCAGCAGCTCCACCACACCTCACCCGACCCGAACAGCAGCCCGCGACCCGAACAGCAACCCAGCAGCCCGTGACCGGCAGTTTCAGCCCTGAACCGACCTCCTGACCTCAGGTCCGACCCGAACAGCAGCCCAGCAGCCCAGATCCGTGACCAGCAGCCCAAAAACCGAGCCCATAGCCTAGATCCGAGTACACCCGAGCACAACCGGGTCGTTTCCTAACCATTTTAATTTTTCTGACTTCCGATTTGAACCTTTCGAGAGGTATATCGGCTTAAACCTTACTCCATGAGCTTAATCGAATATTTAGATGAATTTTAAAATATACGGGAGGTGATTTCGAGCATTATAAGATTTATAGTGAATTTATCGGATTAAATGACATTAAATTCCATAAATATTGGTTGCTGCCCGGAAAAATGCAAAACTAGCGTGATAAAATTCGTATAGCTGACTTGAGGCCTAGGTTTTAATTTCGTAATTTTTGGTGCCCATTTAGTATGTTAACTGGATTTTTGAATATGTAGCTGAAATGTCCGATTTTTGATAAATATGATAAAGAACTCGAAATTCGATGCAACTTTCACAA